TTTAAGGGGATAATAGAGCCTAATTGTTAAAAATAATCTTCCCTCCTAGTTAGGAGTCCAAGTTATCTTTAAGAAAAAACAATCTACAGCTGTTTATCCTAGTAGGTGTATTTGAGAGAATGTGTAGAAGATCCGCGTAAACAGTGCGATACTTTGCCAAACAGATACCCTGATGATCACCATCTCTGTCAGCCACATGGCTGGTCCAGCATTGTGTGATCAGGAATCAGAAGATATCTTTCCTGTAGGTTATTTCTTGATACATTTCAAGGGCAGCTGAAAATTTTATTTTATCCATGTTGTGTAACTTTGCTGTGAAGCTGGATGCATGTATAGGCTAATTGCTTCTAGAGCTCTTACTGCTGACTTACTGACCTGGTTTGTCAAACTTGCCAAACAGTTGATTAGATATATGCCACAGCATTCTGAAAACAAAACCCAGGCCAGAGAAAAATAGAATTCAATATTCGATGCCCTAAGTGACATTATAAGGGACAAAAATATCCCTATATGAGATTGTAGGGACAAAATGTCCCTGTATCACTTCATTGATCTACATATATGTAGTTTTTCTGCAGGCTTCTTCAACATCAGAAGCTCAACAACAAAGACAGACATTTCTTCCAGTAAGACCAAAATTTGGACCTACAGTTCCCTCCATAGACGAGGGGGGGGAGGAAATGTGAAAGAGGGGGAGAGACCCCATACAGAAATTCAGTATTAGAGTCTGTGAATTGCCTTGAAAGACAATTTTTCTGAGAGTAAGGCGCTAAGCTAATTTTAATGTAGTGAGCCTCAACAGAATACCCTTGTTTCTCCATGATGACATTCTGTTGTCAAGTGATCAGACTAGATGGAGGAAAATTTGGCCTTTAAATCTATAAAATCTTAGAATTGTTTGTGCTTCAGTAAAGAAAAGAGTTGATAGTCATGTAGCCTTGTACAAATGAATGAATCAGAATTGGTAATTTACATAACAAAACAGGAGCAAATAAATAAAGCATTATTGCCTCAGGCCAAGCAGAGCTTGATTTGTGAAATACACACTTAAGAAAATGTACTGTACCAAGCATTTGAAGATATTTTGCTTGCTTACTGCATAACAACAGCATGACCTCCATTGTGCAAGATACTGCAAATACAATTGGCACCTTGCAAAAACTGATGTAGTGCTACAATCTTAAACTGAGATATGCTAACTTACTCTAGCCAGACAAACATCTAGAGTTTATCAAGCTTTAGGGGAATAGCTGGGAATGACTGCTAAAGTCATCTGTATAATTCACAGAAAATTCTGACGAGTTTATCAAGCTTTAGGGGAATAGCTGCTAAAGTCATCTTTATAATTCACAGAAAATTCTGACAAGGAAATCAGCTTGGATGTGAGAGTTTGAGAGAGCAGGAACTCAAGTAACAGTTTGACAGATACCACTGAAAATCCTCAGATAATCGAGGGAGGGTGACTACTTGCTAGCCATCTACTGGGATCCAGATGGACATGTTCTGAGGAAAAATGAGTACTTAACCCTACAGTATTGAAAGACACTATAATGTTGTATTCAGTAGGGATTGTCTGCTCTGTCTTTTGTCTCTAGGACTTGAAAAATCTGAGCTACAAGTGATTTGAGTGGTGAGGGGAAAGCATGGCTCAGAGACCACAACTGGTCAGGAAACAGTCTTGTGCGTGTGAATCACATGTACTGGCTGTAAGGTCATGCTGGTAATATTTCAGGGAAAGACATATGTGAGGGGATTTTCATTATTGCTGTAGCACAGCAGTTTTTTTCTTTCACCAGAAGCGGGTACTGTTATTTTTAGTCTGAAGACTTTTAAATGCTGCATCTTGACCTGCATTTAGAATTACTTTGGCTTTTTTCCCTACAGACTTTAGCACTTACAGTGGCTTCTCTGTCTACTACAAATAGGCAAGTGTTTTGTCTCAAAGTCAGTGTCTTGTACGTCAGTTCACCTAGGTTTTGATGTGTAGATTTTCTGTCTTTTTGAGAGACTAGAACAGAATGGATTATCAAATAAAAAGTTGTTATAAGCGGCAGTCTTGATTTGCTATGTTCCTCACACTGTTCCCGTCTGCAGCAATTTCAGTGCACAACATCAGGCACTGTAAGTGGTTTTGATCCCTCCATTAAGTTTTTTCTAGCCACCAGAGATGGCAAAACATGAAGGAAGAGGTGTTCTTAAATGCCTTGCATTTCTTAGGATCTTTCAGGAGAAAGAGAGGGAATTTTGTATTTGTAACCATTTTGTATTTGGCTTGCTAATCAGCCCAGCTTCATAAATAGTTGAGATTCAGCTTCTTTAACCAGTTGTCTTTTAGGGAAAAAAACAACAACCAAACAACAAACCAAAATCAGCAATCTGCGTGAAATGTAATATGTGACTTGATAACACATCATCAAACGAGTGGTAACTTCAGGATTGACATCTGAGCATTCGCAGACTGTGTGATGGAGACGGTGGCTGAAGCATTTTGGTGTAGCTGGGCATGGCAGGATGTTTTGCAGCATGCTTCAGCAATTGCAGTTCTCTAAAACCAGCTCTGGTTGTAACCTTCTCTTTTGTACTGTGGCAATGGAAGAAGGAAAACATTCTTTTGTGGGGAAGTTCTGGTGTGGTGAACAGCTTCCCCAAAAAGTTGAAGCAGAATAGGATAGTGGTCTGGCCTGGAGAGAAAAAAGAGGCAAAATATCCCATCTCTCCTGCTGTGCCCTACAAAATCAGGGCATTCTGTTTCCCCTTTCCTCTTACAATTCTTTAGCTTGTAGTTGACTTCATGCTGCTTTCTACGAAAACTTTTTCTATTGCTTTTTCTATTGCTGTCTTGAAAACTTTTGTTGCTTTTGTCTTTGACCTTTTACCAGCCTCTCTGGGTTTCAAAGACGTAAGCAGTAACTTGGACCTTGCGTATCTGCCTCACTGCGTGTCTGGAAGCATAACAGAGTCGTAGGAAGGTAGTGAGCTAGCTGGCATTTAGTAGCCATGGTGCAACAGGAGCACAGTGATGTAAAATTGGAGCTAAGAGCACTCACCTCTTTTTAATTATTTAATAATTATTAACAAGTGCTGACCTGTCCTGCGCATCACAAAACAGCATCTGTGTAAGATAAACAGCAACTTGCGAAAGTAAGCTTTCATTATAGAAAAAAAAATCCATTGTTTTTGCAGACATTTTTTATAAGTTAGCAAAATACCTCCACCAAGGACCAGTGGACCACAATAGGAATGAAATGACATTGGCCTCAGATGTGTACTTGCTAAAATGCCTAAACATACTAAATTAATCTTGCATTTAAGAAATAAAGCCACATTAACATTTTAATGAAAAGTCAATTGTATATATTAGTCTCAGTTACAATGTGTCTAATGTGAGAACCTAGCAGTAGGAAAACAGTACGTCTTTTATTTTATTTTTGCCTCCTTTAGTCAGGCTAGAGCCAGATATGCTTTACCTTGTACATTTACTTCATGACTCGTCTTACTGTTTATGTGATATGCCTTATTTTGCAAAATAAAGAGCAGTCTATACATATGTGAATCAAAATTATTTTTAGATCTCACCAAAGCAGGAAAAAAAAAAAAAAGGAAGGAAGAAAATTACTAGTTTAGTATTACTTAGCAACAAAAGAAGATTCCGTCTTGATTCATTGAAAGAGAATTTTTTTACAAAGTGTGTGCAGGGTCAGTTTCATAGGGCATCATGTAAGTTAATGCTGTGCTTACAGGTACACAAATGCTGTGAGGAATAGGAAGTCTTCTTATGTTACAGAGACAGATAGCTGAGGTAGCTGCAAATATCAGAGCATCTGTATCCCCATTATTGCCATGGTCTACTCAAGGTCACTAAACCTGAATAGGAATAATTACTCCAGGCAGAGCGTGGGATTAATGGTTACACTTCTCTGGTACCCTCATTAATACAACTGCAAACTCTGCAAAAATACACACTGTGAGCTAAAGAGAGCAAATCACTGTGTGTAGCACCTGCAGAATGGGTACATTTTGAGGTTGTCATCTTTTCTGGCATAGCTGTTTCTGTCTCTGACTCCATCATGGACTTTCACACCTGCCTTCCACCTCCTCACTGGTTCGGGGTTCTGGTTTTATTGCTTAACCAGAATTAGCCTCTCCCTTCTGCCTTCGAGAAAATGGGAAATTCCTGTTCAGTTTTGAGGTGGGGTATGATCAAAGTAGGAAAGGGTTTTTTGCAGAGTTGTAGCTATTTCCTTGTTGATTCAGTTTTCCAGAGAAGTAAGAACTCAATGAAAAGCTGGTAAAATGGGTAAAATTAAAATGTACTGACATAAGAGAGCTTCACAAGAAGACCATGAGTATAATACCAATAAAAATAAGGAGAAATATATAGGGTTTAAAAAAAAATATTCAATTTCCTTTTAGATGAATATTTTCAAAAAACTTTAGTTTGTGAAATGCCATATTAAAGGAAAGGGAGAGTACCTCTTAAAATAGTTTGCACAAGTCCAACATTTTCAATATGTTATGTATTCTGAATTTATCTTTTCATTTTCAGTCTAACAACTGCTAAAACTATGACTAAACTTTTAAAATAAATTGTTAGAAAATTATTTAGCTTACTCTTGCCAGAACTGGACTGCATTTCCCTGAAGTCCTCTGAACAGTCCGTGCAGCTCTTGCTTTATTTGCTAATCCGTATTTCCTGCATCCTACTCAGCTATTGAATAGTACTGTACATAACTTCTTTGGAAGTTAAGTTTAGCTTAAGCTTTCTCTAATATACACAAAACCTTGAAGAAGTTAGATATTACTTGGAAATATGTATATACCTCTGTCAAGTTCTTCAAGGAAAAGATTAATTTTGGGGGCCATATCAGGCAAATGCCCGAGTGCAAGCTTCATTGAAATGTTCTAGGGTATTGACAGTAGCATATGCCTTGCACACTATTGCTTCCATGCTAATTTTGTTCTCCTGAAAGAAATTGTGGACATTTCCTTTTAAATTTTAGGAGCGTCTTCTACTTTCTTTGCTGCCTGCTCACATTGCCATGGAAATGAAAGCAGAGATCATTCAGAGGTTACAGGGTCCCAAGGCAGGCCAGCTGGAAAACACCAACAACTTCCACAACTTGTATGTCAAAAGGCACACCAATGTAAGGTAATACACTGTATCAACAACATTCAGAAAAAAATTGAAAAGAAAATTTTAAGAAAGCAATTAAGAAAGTATTTGTTTTGATATGTTTTTCAACAACTTAATGTTTAGTATCCATTAATTTGATCAAATGATAACAATCCTGTGTTCCAGAAGAGCAACAAAGCTGATAATACAAAAACGTTGTTTAGAAAAAGCCATGCATTAATAGGCTTTCTTCATAATATATTAATTTTTCAGGTTAAAGTACCAAATCCTACTTTCATGTATACTAGTCAAAATTGTAATTCATGTCAGTTATATTATTCTAAATTTGTAATTGCACTTAACTGGAGCAATTTCTCAGATTTTATATAATGTAAACACAAGCAGCTGTATCACATATGTACTTTATACACTACCTGAGATAAATCATTCTGCTGACAAATCTAATTATTTATTAATTATAATTTTCTAGAAGTTAGAAAAATAGCTCACCATTTATTTCAAATATTCCTTCATCTTTACAAGTTGTTTTGCCTATTTTTTGATTGCACAAATTAATTTGAATTACATTCTTAGAAATTGCATTTTTCAAGTAAGTATTGCAGGACTTTCGAAGAAGTTCATATTCATTTGTGACCAGAAATACATTTTCCTTAGCCTGATTCTAGGAATTGGTCAAGTGGTGAATAGAAACAAAGTGTATGACTTGAATTTCTTAGCAATCAAGCTTAATTCAATTTAATAGTCTGACTAACAAGTGAACAAAGAATTCCATGCTGCGTATCATTAGCAGGTAGATCTAGACAGAAAATTTCTACAATGACAAAAAGTTATTAAACAATTTCTGACAAGAAACATGCTTATTGAAAAAATTGCCATTATTATATTGCCAATTTGTAAGCAGGAAAATGCTTTCTATTTTTCAAATACACAGTAACAAATAAAAGTATAGAATGCCTATAAATATTCATAAAAATAGGTATACCTATGAAGGTGATACCTGTGAAGGTAATACCCATAAAGGTAAATATAGGTATATATTACCTATAAACGTAATGCCTAGAAAGGTAAATGTAGGTTTACCTTTAAATATAGTTATATTTATTCTACATTTAGCAGTGGCTGTTTTGGGTATGGGCATACCTCTGTGAAGTCCAGAACGCCTGCTTTCAGGTTTTGCTGTTGATTGATAAATGTGAGTTCTGTGGAAGGAAACTGTGACCAAGTTCCTGTTCATTTCTATTGTAGCATCTTGTATGCTGATATCGTGGGATTCACTCGCCTGGCCAGTGACTGCTCACCAGGGGAATTGGTGCACATGCTAAATGAGCTGTTCGGCAAGTTTGATCAGATTGCAAAGGTAGGTTTCTACTGGGCTGCTACTGTTAGTTTAAATAAGCAAGTCATCTTTAAAATATTTTTTCTTCTTGAGGACTCTTCTACATTCAGGCAGCACTTCTGAGGCTTTGGCAGGAAGGTTAGACATGAAACGTGTGAAGAAAAAACCTGGCTCTGGTCTGAGTGCAACCGTGTATTTCTGCCAGTGTGACAATCTGTGAAACCCAAGATAGCTCTCTCTAATAAGACCAATAGAGACAGCTCATCGAGCCCTATAAAGCTTAATGGAAGGTGAACAGCTCTTTAAATAGATTTTTTACAATAACAAGGATTAAGAAACTCAAGATAGAAAACTGATACAGTCAGTTTTCTGATCTCTGGAAAAGCATTTCAGAAACTGGAAGACAATATTAATTGAAGCAATTTTAATTACTGACCACAGCCTCTTGATTACTCAAGAAAAGATTCAAATATCATCAGAAGATTTTCTTCTGATTATTTAGGTGTCATTTTTATAAAAATTACATATAACTTCATGCTTTGTGTTAAGGTGAAATCATAAACACTAAAACAGGTAAAAAAATTGTGTTTTTTTATTTGTTCAAAATCTATTGGCGATTATTGGTTAAAAAAAAAAGTAAAAATCTTTATATTACCTTAGAGTACAAAAGATAGAAATAAGATTGTGATTGCTAGTTTCAGGAAATATTGCATAGCACATCTTCAAAGATGTAAATGTGGAAGGCTAGGTCTTTTGACTTCATATTTCAAACAAAAAGACTTTCTTTCGATTGAGTACATGATACTTTGGCTCAATTTAAGGTGTGAAGAACACTGTAAAAATATGGTTTGCAGTGAACTGACTTCCTGCTTCTGCCCATTAAGGACCATAACATATGGAGGAATCATCCATACAAAACTCTCTGACAGCACTTCTTTTTTAGCAAGCCAAATTTTTCTACTGAAACAAGCTTAAATAGAATGATTTTGATAATATCATTTAAATCAGTCTTTGTAACAGTAGCCCTTCATTTATGTAACTCAAGTTGAAAGTAACCACCTGAACTTGCTTTTTCCTCCAGGAAAATGAATGTATGAGAATTAAAATCCTAGGTGACTGCTATTACTGTGTTTCTGGACTACCTATATCTCTTCAAAATCACGCCAAGAATTGTGTGAAAATGGGATTGGACATGTGTGAAGCCATTAAGTAAGTGTTGAACTCTTTGTTAAATATTCAACAGGAAAAAAATCTGTCTCTTTTCTGTCTGTAGCTGTGCTGCTGGTTGAAACATTCAGACCTGCAGTAGCTGGTGTGTTTCACTACAAGGTCCAGCATAGTATTCTTGATCTCAGCCTCAGCAAAGAAATGGTTTAAGATGTTGGGTTGTGCCAGGCTATCTCGTCACTACACCATAAAGATGATTAAGGGCCTGGAGCATCACTCATGAGGAAAGGCAGAGAGAGCTGGGACCATTCAACCTGGAGAAGAGAAGGCTGAGGGGAAAAATCTCATCAATGCATTTAAGTACCTGAAGGGAGGCTGCAAAGAAGAGGCAGCCACTCTTTTCAGTATTGCCCAGAGACAGGACAAGAGGCGATGAGCTCAAACTGAAACTTAGGAGGTTCCCTCTGTTTTCACTGGGAGGGTGAATGAGCACTGGCACAGGTTGCCCAGGGAGACTGTAGAGTTCCCAACCTTGGAGATACTCAAAATCCATCTGGTACAGCCCTAAGCAACCTGCTCTACCTGGTTCTGTTTTGAGCAGGAGCTGGGCTAGACACTGTCCAGAGGTCAACTATTCTGTGATTCTGTGATTATGAGATGGTAAATATCCCAACAGAAGTCACTTAGGACTTGGGAAGCTTTGCTTTTTGCAGAATCACAATGCTGCCATCCACCTGCTAGTCAAATGTCTCTGTGAGAGGCCAGAGCTCCTGGCTCCTGCTGAGTTTGGAGTGCAGTGGTGGTCAGGAGCAATTACGCCTCCGCAATTAAGATGCCTTGACCCCTTAGTCACCCCTTAGGAGTGATACTGAGCATGTCTACCAAAGACATTTCTAATGGCTTACAGATTCCTGGGCTGAGAGGCCTACTTTCCATGTTGTTAAATAAGCAATAAAATGTGCATGTCTTACTAGACCCCATGTTTGGGTTTAGTTTCAACTTTTCTATAACTAATTTTTTAGGTGATGGATTTCTAAAAAGTTTTGTCAGTTAACACTTCAGGGTACCATTGAGAATTCCGTGCTTATCAGCAGTATTTTGGATTTGTGGGTTACTGTATTTGTCCCTTATTTCTTTCCCATAATCTTTGTGCTTGTTCTGTCTTTGAAACAGAAAACAGAATAAGGTATTTGAGAATTCTAATGTGATTGATTTTGGAACAATAGTTGTAACTTATTTCAAGTAACTCAAGTAGTAACAGGAGGGTTGATGTGATTGTGAAAGAGGAAAAAGAAATATGGTTCTATCTGATGGGTTAACACTTGTAAGGCATCTGAGGACACAACTAAAGACATACTTGAGGAATCTTCTTGGTTATTACCGAGGAGTAGATTGGGAATGGATTATAGGCAACTGCAGCAGTTCTGAAGACGCTGGGACTTCAAAGAAGTCTTGCAAAAGAGCAGCTTTACTCCCCCGCATCTCTTCAGCTGACTGCTATCTGAACTCTCAGCACAGAGTAGAAATAACTCTTTCGTAAGCTACATGCCCTGGAGGAGTTCTGCAACCAAAGCAGGACACATTGCAGTATTTAAACCCAGTTGGGACATCTGCACATCATGCTGAAGGGTCCTAAACCTGTCGGTCCAGGACCTTCAGCTTGGTATTGTCATTTATTTGTTAAGTACGGGTCTGATTCTGTTAGCTTATTTAGAAAACATTTTGTGAAGAAAAAAACCAAAACACAACAATTAAAAAACTTTCCACCTTTTTTTTTAAACCAAAGTCAGATAATTCATTGTCTGTAATTCATACCTGAAGTTCTTTTTGGCTGTTAGGAGTTAAAATACTGTAAATGGTTATTTATAGAAGTTATCATTAGTGGCACAAATCTCTCATCTGTAGGAAAGCTAAGTTTCTGTTGACTAAAACTGTAGCATATCTGGGTGAGCTACACTTTGCAAAAATATATATCATGTGGACGTCTGGATATTTGGTAGTCACCTGGTTTTTTTTAAACAGTTGGACTTCGGTTTTAAAACTTGGTATGCTCTTCTGTAAGTTTCAGTTCTAATTTTGATGGGTTTGCCAAATCACATTTACCACTCTCCAGGTAGCAAAGTAAGAAATTACCTCATCCTTGTGAGGTATATGTGTGATGTGCACCTCATCATGAAATAGATAGTTGTGTTGAACAGCGTTGTCTCAATGAATAACTAAACTAGCATACAAAAGTGATTGCTCTAAACCTTAAGTAATATACTCATATGTGTGTAATTGTAGTCACATGAGGGTTTCAGCTTTCAGTTGCCTGGTCTTGTGATTTGATTCGGGGTAATTACTGTATGGGTAGGTTGATTAATGCAAATTTGGTTCTTTTCGTTGTAAGGTAATCATGGAAAAGATGTAGTATTTGTGGAAACTGGGAATTTGATCTCCTTGCTTTAGGGATCTTTTGCATAACTAACCTCAGTACAGGAATCAGGTTGCTGCATTTCCTAAAATGTTTTTTCTTCATCCAGATATGGTTGTACCTTACATTGTGTCCAAAGAAATCTTTTTTTTTTTTTTTTAAATGGTACTTGGAGTACTTCTCTTTGCGAAGCATTAAAATCTACAGATTTGGTTGTTTCGTCAGTTGCTTTCACTGGATGCTTTCTCTTTTTCATTTAGATATACCAGAACAGTATTACAATTAGACCAATTGCTCCTCTAAAATATTAAGAACTAAAGCTAATATCCCTTCAGTAAACCAGTAGGTAAAAGATTGTCTGTCCCTAAGTTCTGACTCTCTACCTTGGTTGGCTTAAAAATTTTGGATTTTTTTCCCCAGCCTTTCAGTGAAAATGAGAGCTTTCTGGTTTACATTTCAAAAGATGCATGTGCTGTTTGATAAATGGGAGTTAAAAGCATTTGCCACAGAGTTTCTGGTCAACCTGTTGCTTTTTTACTAAAAAGAAAAAAGTATAGAAGGTTACAGGCTGGTGGAAAAACAATGTTAAGCTCAAGCCATAAATTGCCCTTCGCAAAGAACTGAAAGTACAATTTTACACATCACAATGCCACGCTTTACTTGAGCTCAGAGAGCAATCTGTCAGTTCCTCGCACTTCAGAACTTCCCAATTTTCTTTGAAATAACTTTCTGCTCAAGCTGCTATCAAGTTTGTTCATTGTTAATGCTGGATGATAAGGGCCTCCTTGGTAAGAGCAGCCTTATAGACTGCTTTTAGTTGTACAGCACATTCTGATCTGACTTTATTACTGTATTCAGAATCTAAAACTCTCCTGTAGACAGACGCTTGATTATCACAGCCTATTTACGTCTCTTTAAGAAGTGAGGAATCCGTACCCCGTGTTTTCAAACGCTTTCAAAGTATTATGTCAAGGGCTGCAGCCTGCAAGGGAATAAAAATTACTGATTATTAATCAATTCCCGGTCTAGTGGGAGGTCTCCCTGCCTATGGCAGGAGGGTTGGAACTCGATGATCTTCAAGGTCCCTTCCAACCTAAACCATTCTATGATTCTATGATTCTATGAATTCCATATTTTCATGTGTGATTGCTACATCTTTGTGTTGAAGCATCTCCTGAAGTACTTCTGTGGCCTGTAAAACTAGGAGTAGTAATACTTTTGCTGTTGGAAGTGTATCACTCAATATATATTTCACTCTGTTTAAAATATCTTTTTTGTCAGATATGGGTTTTTGTTATATTCAGTCACTGAGGTGCAAGCTGACACCTCAGTGCGTAAGTTACTGAAATAAGGCAGTTTGCTGTTTAGATTAATAGTTCTGTATAGATTTTACCACCTGAATATGGTTGTAGTTTAAGTTCTCTTTGAAGCAAAAAGGAGGAATTCTTCCAAATTGCCAGGTGATCTGTAGTCCAAAGCCTTATCCAGTCTTGTTTCCTAATGATGTGTAGCTCCATTTTGCGTAATTCAGCCTCACTATGCTATGGATTGTTTCCATTTAAACATGTTAGTAGTCCCATTGATTACTTATTTTGCTTCCCTGCTCTATGTTGGAACAAATCCAATGTTTCTTACAGTCTGCAGCAGGCTTGCCCAGGCCCACCTTATCAAACCAGTGCTGCCTGTGGTGTTGAGAGCTGGCCACCTTCCTGGGTTCTTTAAGGCTAGAGCTTATCTGCTAAGGCAAAATATATTTGTGTATGAATATATGTGCTGTTTTCCTTCAGCACAAACTCCACCCCGTTATCTGTCTGGTGACTCCCTAATTTAAATATTTCTCAGCCACAGATTCTCAAAGGCTCTCTTTGATTTGGTAGCATGAAATGAGTTCCATTTCAGAGGGAAGTGAAAGAAACTGTTGGATGTGACGGTTGTACCAATTTGAAAGCTAGACACAAAATAAAATAATTTTTTTTTTAGGTGTGATTTCATTCCTGCAGGTGTGATCCAAAAGGGATCCATGCTTTTAAAGCTGGCAATTTGCAGGGAACTAAGTGCTCAAGGCCTACCGAATGTATTAAAGTATGTACGATAGGACTAGGTGAGTCTTAAGTACATTAGTTGAGAATTACAAATGAATAAAGCTCCGAAAAACAGAGCAGATGCTTTCCTAATGACCTGAACTCTTGCTTGTGTGCAGTAAAGTTGCTACAAGCAAGCTAACCATGCCTGTGAAAAGCATAGAATCCTTACAAACTCAAATTTAAGGCTGCAATAGGAAAAATACAGTCTTGATGAATATTTTGGCTGCCCAGCTAGGATGGGCACACTGACTGTGGTGTGCTGAGGGAAACCAGAGAGACTGTGGGAGCCAAAAATCAACTAATAGTGGGAATTTTCAGAGATACTTGTGTGGGTAAGGCAAGTGTCCTATGAGAATGGGATAGGCAACATTCTTAGACGCATTCAGTGCCTGCATCATCATAGCAATTGTTCAGGGAGCAGAGGAGAGAAGTAGTAGTAAACCCTCATTTGGTCCAGAGTAATACTTCTCATTTAAAATTTTCTGTGTTTTCTTTAATTTGTGAGACAGAAGAGAAGATTCAGTTCTGGAACATATTCTACTTGCTCCCCTCCTTAACTCCTGAGAGCTTATTATAAAGCAGACTTCTGCTCTGCAGAATATGGCAGGACAGCTTTTCGACAAGCACTCCTAGAAGATAAATGTTCCTCTTACTCTTTGCCCAGTTTTGTAAAGCACCTTTTTTTCCCCAAAGTGTTAAGCTTGTGTCATGTTCCTTGTGAAGAGCAGTGGTGTTTGTCATTTGCCGACTGCTTACAAAGATCATTTACAAGGAGTTCGTTTTCAAGTGTGTCAGCTACACAAGAGCAGTATAGAATGGTAAAGTGAAAAGAGATATCAATAAACACTTAATAGAGACTAAGGGAATTAAAAAAACTTCTCCTCTCTTCTTTTTAATAACCTCAAAACACAGTTTAACAAAATACTTTCTGTCATGCTCCTGTTATTTTCATTTCCCAGAAAAAAAACCCACTTGAGAACTACTGCTTACATGTAGGATTTACCATATCAAATTAAGTCAGTGAAGTTCTGTGTTCCCTTTCAAAGCAAGAAGAGAAGCAGACCAGTTTAATTCTGTAATTCAAGAAGGTACAGAGCTGATGATTCTCATTGAGACTGAGGATGTTGCTAGAACTATGAACCTGACTCATAGACAGGAGCCATTTAGCTTTCTTATTCTATAGTAGTTCCTTCCATCAACACTGTGAAATCCACAAAGATAAATGTATGTACATGTTCCTTGTTACTGGTTAGGTTTTGATCCACATGAGTTGGGGCTTAAATACATAAATCCAGTTAAGTTACAATCTTCCTAATTTTTAGAACTGTCTAAGCCTGTAGACATCTGAATTAATTTTATAACCCTTTACGTATGTAGTTAGGTACCCATATCACATATATCTGAAAATGTTCTGGTTGTTTGATTTTAGTCACCCATCTGTCATTCAGAAGAATCTCTTCTGTAAAGGTTGTTGCCTATCTTATGTGTAGGACTCTTCTGAGATTTGGGTTGGGGTGAACAAGTACTTCAACTATGTCTAAAGTCACTGGAAAGGTCAAAGGTTTATATGTGGTCTGGACAGTGAGGGTGGCCTCTCCTTCTTTGTATAACGGGTATGGCAGTGGGTACGGCAGTGGGTACGGCATTCACCAAGCATGTGGAAGGTTGTTGAGTCTGTGTTCTCCACAGCCTGAATAGCACTGAGCCCATATCCCCAAAAAGTGTACAAGCCACCAGCCTGTAGAACATCATGAGGCACTGTGTTTTTCATCCTTCCTCTCTGAGCAGAACCATTTGCAAGCAGGCATGCAAGAGTGATGGACCTGACAACAGGCAGATACAAGAAGGTCTCCGATGTAGATATTAGGGTCTTCAGATAGAAGGGTACAATAATAGTAGTTCCAGATTTACAAAATATGTTTGTTGGACTGTTGCTGCATTAAAAGCCACACCAAAGGCTGTCTGTAGAACAAAAATCATCCCTAAATGCTACCATGAGACTGAACTTTTCCACTACTTAGTTCAGCCCTCCCAAATAATATCAGATGAGTATAAAAGGGACTTCAGACATGGACTTCAGAATTAATATTTACTACAAATAGTTGCAAATATAGCTAATAGTAAAGGTAGTATAGAAAAATAATCCTAGCATAAAAAGAATGGAGGCAATGCTAAAAAGAAATAAATGTTATCACTGTTGTTACAGCTGATTTGACTGGTAAATTAAAATAAGACAAAGGCCCTATTATGTATATTAACACAGATTTTCTTCTCAACTACAGGAAAGTGAGAGATGCAACTGGAGTTGATATTAATATGCGTGTAGGAGTGCACTCTGGGAATGTGCTTTGTGGCGTTATTGGGCTGCAGAAGTGGCAGTACGATGTGTGGTCACACGATGTTACTCTGGCAAATCACATGGAAGCTGGAGGAGTCCCAGGGTAAGAGGCTTCTCTGTTAACCTTTGAACATGTGGATTTTTGTACCATGGAGAAATGCATAGGTACCATGTCTTCAGCCATCAGCCTTCATGGAGAATCCTGAACTAATTCTTAGTGCTGTCTTAAAAAAAAAAAAAAGGGCACTCAGTATTTCCTGTGATTTAAAGAGTATTTTTTGTGGATGAAAACCTTTATATTTATGCCCATTAGAACTTCTAAAAATGAGATTAGAGGGACTGTAAATGAAGTGAGCAGCATATAAAAAGTATATCCAAAAGCAAATAAAAAAGGTTGATCAGGTTCAAATTATGCTTTTGATCGGTATTTGTGATTCTGTCATTCTTTTAAAATATAATTTCAGCCGTGTTCACATCACCTCAGTCACCTTGGCACATTTGAATGGAGCTTACAAAGTGGAAGATGGGGATGGAGATGTGAGGGACCCATATCTGAAAGAGCATAATGTTAAGACTTACTTTGTAATCAATCCTAAGGTTAGTAGTACTTTTATTTTGTGGCCAGTCATAGTTATTTCTGAGCAGGACCAGTAATCTCTTAATGGAATAATTCACTACCATAAGATATTGATCAAAGCTGTTACTGATTGCTACAAATACATAATGTTTGCGTTGCAAATCTTTCCCGCTCTTCAGAAGTAAGTCTCTGATATTTCCCAGCAATATCATTAAGAATTGCAGGTTCTTAGCATCTTTCCATTTTTAAGTTCCTAAGCATGTGGCACCAGATGATGCATTACTGCTTCAAAAGGTAATGAACACCAAGGCTGATATCACCTTTTATTCTCTGTCAACCAGGGAGAGAAGCGAAGCCCTCAGCATCACATTAGACCGCGACATACTCTCGATGGAGCCAAAATGAGAGCTTCTGTCCGCATGACCCGGTACCTGGAATCTTGGGGAGCAGCCAAGCCATTTGCACACTTGCACCACAGGGACAGCATGACCACTGAAAACGGCAAGATTAGCACAACAGTAGGGGCCTACTTATGTCATTTCATACAATTTAGCAATATTTGAAAGGAAAAAGGTGCTCACTGGTAAAAACCTGGTTATTTCTGATAGAAGAAGATACATGCGTTTGTACAGGGCGGTGAACCCAGTGAAGTTACTGCCAGTTTTTCCATGGGCGTGTGAGCTTTGAATTAGACTCTAAGGAGCCATGTCTTGCTGTAAGTGCATCTCTGAATTATAAGGAGTCCAATGTACTTACTAAAATACACGATTTGACCCTGTGAGCTTGTGCCCCCGTGACAGCATATAGAGTGGATGCTGTTCACCTTGTGGAAAGACATTTTGAACATAAAGCCAGAGTGCAACACCTTTGGGAAGGAACACTTTTTGATACAGAGACATCCCCTGAGATTAATTGGCTGTTTAATCACATTGTCCATTTGGAACATGGCCAAACCTGGAACAAAGACTGTGAAGTTAGAATATTCCTCTGGTGCCTGGAGTGGACTTTATTAGAAGAGTTCTCTGGGAACCAAATCCATACTCACTGTAATATCTACCTTTTGAAGTTACACTAACCACTCATCAGCTGTGGCTGATGGCCTGAGTTGCACAGTGCTATAGTGCAATGTTACATCTCTTAAACTGAACAGAAAAGATTTATTTTTAATGTTGCTAACACTATTTTACTGTTGTCAGTAAGATGCTGTCAGTCCACAGTTGTACATTGCATTACCTTGTACTTTTAGAAAGTGCAAACATAAAGGTAAATTCTAATAGTTTTCTACATTGGCATTCAGTTTTGTTCCTGTTACACGTGAGAACACAGGAGTGAGCCACCTAACCCATCTTGTTCAATAAATACAGTGCCTCAGAATGTAAATTGTGACGTGTTCATTATAGAAAGTACCCAGTCATCACTATTAATCACAAAATAAATGTGTTTGTGATGGCTGCTGTTGCTTATCAATAAAAATCTGTTCAAAAAATAATGACCATTGCCTGTATTTGGTCACTCAGGACTGTTTTTTTCAAAAACACTTAACATTGTTTTTTGCTGAAGCTGGCAGGAGTTTTGGCTACATTAAAACAGTGGTGACTTTGAAGCAGTAACTTTCTAGTAAAGCAAAACATTTTTGGATTCAGACTGTTGTACTACTTATTTAGTGTTTGTAATGACAGATCAGTTCGTCTCCAGGTCAGTCCATCTTCAGTCTTGGCTAGATTTTTCTTTTAGACAGTTTTAATCTAATGCTAAAAGTGTTTGGATTGGAAACTCTTCTCCTTACTTGACCCTGTTTGCAACACTATTTTTAAAGCGAATTACTGTTGTCAAAGTCTATTATAGTTCATAGGTATTTTCTTTTGTTTTTTAGGATGTTCCCATGGGACAATATCATTTTCAGCGTTGCAGAGAGAGGTAAATTAATTTTTAAAAATCACTGTTACGGTTTGAAGAACCCACAACAATTTATTTTTGTTTAGACAATCATTCTATCACCCGATGACCCCTCCCCACATGGGAAGGGGAATTGGAAAACACAAGGAAATCCAAGGGTTGAAATATAAACAGATTTAATAGAATAATGCTAAATAATTAACATTAATAACACTAAAGAACCAATATTGATCCCAATACCAATATAAAATACACAAGGATTATACTCAGCCAATTCTTAGCAGGAAGCGGTGCACTCCCAGCAGTGGACAGTAAATGTCGGCCACTGCGAGTTGTATGGTTTCAGGAAGGAAGGAAGAACTCAGTGGTCTGGCACTGGGGCAAGAAGTTCTCAGGATGGCAGCCATCAAGGAACAGAGAAACTCCTCAGCAGACTTTTTAATTTCTCCTGAATGTGATGTTGATGGTATGAAATAATGCTGTTGGCCAGCTTGGGTCAAGTGCCCGGGTCTCGCTCCTCCTCATCTCTGCACCTGGCGAGCTCGAAAAACACTGAGACCTTGAAACCCACTCACCATAGCTGGCTATAAAGTAAATATTTTCACAAATTCAGACACTAAGGTCTTCTAAATATGCAGTTTTCCAAAGCATTAGAAGAAACCTTACTGCAAAGTAAAATTACTGAAAGAGAAATGAATCCTGTGTCGCTCAAACCAGGACACTCTTATTCACACAAAGTCTATATAAAAACATATACGTTCATATGCATGCATATATGAATAAGGCAGGCTTTCAAATATTGAGGGCCATTTCTCACCCAAACTATTTTTTGAGCTCTTACCTCTTACATAGAGCAGGGCTATGGAAACAGATTTGGCAGATATGTTACTTATGAATTGTGAATACACTTCCTGCTAACAAACAGCATTATTCTGAATTAGTGTAAGTGTGTTGATGGGCTACTATTCATTTCTTCTAACAACCCAGTTACTCTATCAGTGAGGAGAAAATTATATGCAGGAAAACTGAGAGAAGGCACAGAGGGATAAGGAAAGGGAAGATGGAAAGGGCTGTTGATAATTCATGTCACAACAACTAATAATATGTACTAAAAGATATTTTTTAAATTATTTTTTGGGTTTTTTTAATTACTTTGTTAATTGCTTTGTATTTACATTGTGTTTTATTATTTCAAAGTCTGTAATATCTTTGCAATAGTAAACATTCAAAAGGTATTTTGTGGTCTTCCTGTAGTGCTCCCTCTACACAAAATGTTAGCAAAATCACAATAGCTTAAAGTTTTCATTCTCCTGCTTGGTACTTCAGTGACTAGGGCAAGATGGTGAGAAATGGAAATAGGATTGAACGGATCAGTTCTTTAAAAAAAAAAATAAATCAAGAAAAGAATGATGTCTTTAAAAAACAAGCTTTGTGCTGTCAGAAACCTGGAATGGTTAATTTTTATTTTAATAGCCTAATAGCACTTCAGATAATGTCTTTCTTGCAAGATTGTAAGTAACATCACAAATACCATAAAATAGTTTGAAAGAACCCTCTAAAAATTTGTATTTTTATTGTCTTTAGTTATGCAAACAAGTCATTTTGTCTGTTCCTTCCCCATCTCTCTGCTTGATAAATGTCTCCTCAACAAATCACAGGTCACTGGAGAGCTATGCAGTTACCTAAAATAGTGCTAAATTCCAGAAGACAAACAAGTTGAATACGCATTATATTAACAAAAACAGTCTCTGATTTTAAAACTGAGCATTTGCGTTTGGAGAGTATGTCAAAAGGACTTCTATCAGCCTTATGGTAAAAAGAAGAATCATTGGACTGTGGTATTTGCAAATAACGAAATGCTTTAAGATACTGAGATGTTCTAGCTTTTGAGTTTCTGAATTCCACTCCAAAATTGATCCAAATGGTACAAATGTTACCATAAGTCTTGATACCATATTATGGAAGGTGTTTCTAGAAACGATTACTGGAGTCTAATCTCCATAGTGAGGCACATAACTAGGATTCTAGATAAGATAGTTAGTCATTCCCACAGGAGAGAGCTGAAATAATAATCTGCACTTTGAAAATCAGTATTTTATTAGAATATGAAAGTGTGGGTTTTGAAGCCTGACTGTGGGCTTCTGTTTGCGGCAGTCTTAGCTCTTATCTAGTTACGTGATAGTCTTGTGTTGTTAGGGATCTGCCAAGAGGATTAAGTGTGATTAGGTAATGCCTCCTCATCTGTTTAGCTATTTCTCTAGGCAGGTTGTTTCACATGTGAAAAATAAGTTGTAAACACTTTCTTAACTAAATTCTATAGTATTGATTGGGTATGAAATCAGTTGCGTTGTTTAAAGTTACTGTAAGTACACTAATATAATTTCTGTATGAATTTGAATCCTGCAACAGGTTATACGTTTTGGTTAAATAACCCAAAAACTTGATGTTGAAGACAATCCGTGTTACCTTTGACAGGGTCAAATTTGTAGGTTAAGAACATTTTGGTAATCAAAGAGTCAAATTTCAGATCTGACTGTTGACTTTTTACAAAACACTGTTATGAAGTTAACATAGGATTTAAGTTTTCAAGAGTCAGAGACATAATTTGGCAATATTTTTAAGGAGAGCGCAACTGCTGAAAGGGACTGATGATGATTGCAGTAATATATGTTAGCAAAAACAAACCCATTCTAATGATTCTCTGTTGGGTTCATGCTGAGTCCGGGGAAAAGAAAAGATCCTTTTGTTCATTGTAGTTGTGTTATAAGTTATAAAAAGAGAAACATGACATATGTTTGCAACTAATTTCAGATTTTGTGCTCAATTTTCTTATTAAAAATAATAAAATATTTCCAAGAAAAGAAGAGTTAGCAGGCTTTCAGTCGATAACACTTATTATGCCTCAGTGCGCTAGCACTTTATTTCTAATCATACAATTCTGACAAGAATTTTTAAAAATAACTACAAGAAACAGAAATGTTTTATGAATTTCAGCATATTCCCAATCTTTTGCATGAATTCATAACACTACGGAAGACTTTCCTTCAACCAGAATTTCTTGAACTCCCTTGGTTTGTTTGTTTTTTTTTTTTCTTGTGTTCTAATAGCTAAACCCTAGATCTTGTGTGTGTGTGTGTGATACTCCTTAGCTTATGCTGTTTTTGTTAAGAGCTTGGTATGAGGCTCAGTGTGCCTGAAGCCTATAGCTGCTATTGCAGCGTAAATGTTAAAAAATTATTGTCCCCTCAAGTTTATGCCAGCTATCGCCTCATTGTTTAAAGTTAATGTTTATTAAGACTGTAATGATTTTCCAAATTATCTTTCCACATTTTCCATTTCAGAACAAAATCACAGAAAAGAAGGTTTGAGGAGGAACTGAATGAGAGGATGATCCAGGCCATTGATGGAATCAATGCTCAAAAGTATGTTTTTATCCTCTGTTGTCTCCTTCCTTCAACTTTGACATAAATCAGCAACAGAGGGTAGTGCTTACTATTTCTCACTCCCACATGCACACAGAAGTCTGAAAACAGTAAAGGAAAGCTCTGCACATTGTGAAGAAAGGCTGTATAGTAACATTTTCAACTATATGGGATAAGACAGTGCCTGTGAATCATGGTGAGACACGGGTTTTGGCTTGTCTTGATCTTCATGGCAAAGGGATTTTTGCCCTGTAACTGTTCATAGCTGTACACTCATAGCCATAACTCTACAGAATTATCTCATCTGAAAACACAGAAGTAAGACACAAGAAATAACTGGCTTGGGAATCAGAATGACATAAAAATTGATACTTCACAATTGTCACAGAAACATCTCCCCAGAATTAGAAACTTTCCCTAAAACCATAGTTTAATATCTCTTTGTTTCAACTGGTTTGTTGATTTCTTAGAGAAGGCTAAGCTTGATGGCATGTTGAAATTGTTGGGGGAGGCAACGTGGCATGCATTGTTTCTGCATCCTAGGAAGAGCAGGAGGCGGTATTGATGTTCTCTGTTTGCTGGTGAATAGATAAGACTGAGAGAAAAATCACAGAATCATAGAATAATTTGGGTTGGAAGGGACCTTTAAAGGTCATCTAGCCCAACCCACCTGCAATGAGCAGGTACATCTTCAACTAGATCAAGTTGCTCAGAGCCCCATCCAACCTGACCTTGAATGTTTCCAGGGATGGGGCATCTACCACCTTTCTGGGCAACCTGTTCCCGTGATTCACCACCCTCACTGTAAAAAATTTCTTCCTTATATCTAGTCTAAATCTACCTTCTTTTAGTTTAAAACCATTACCCCTTGTCATATCGCAACAGGCCCTGCTAAAAAGTTTGTCCTCATCTTGCTCATCTAAGTCCCCTTTAAGTACTGAAAGGCTGTAATATGGTCTCCTGGGAGCATTCTCTTCTCCAGGCTGAGAATCAAAATCAATGTCAAAAATCAATACCAGTCCAAAATAAGTGTTCAGTTTTCTTATATTTATCTGATGAAATATGGGAATTGCCCTTCAAAAATATGGACAGCAATTGTGATGAATTACATTTCCCCCCCTACTTCTGTTACTCACAATCTTAATTACCTGAGTATTGCACCTAATTATGAAATGCTCATATGTCACATTTGGGTTTTTTGCATATTAATCCTATTAAAAGATACTTGGCTTTAGGAAAATACTTTTCAGTTATTATTTATAGAAAAGAGTGTTGATAGTTACAGGTCATAGAAAGAATACAGTGAAAGAGGGTAGATCATGTGATAGGCAAAGCCTTTGGTTATACTAGACTTGCCTAAAACAGATATGTAAATTTTCCCAGTTTTTATGTGTCTTAAAGGTGCACTTGCTCTGATAAGTGAATTCTGAAAGTGATGGTTTGATGTCAAAAGTAAAGCCTCTGTATAAATGAATTAAAATAAAGTGTTGGTATGATCATACTGTATGTTGTTTTATCTCAGAGAATCTCTGCCTTATCTAATTACTGCATAAAATTCAGAGAAACTTGGGGATAAGAGAGGTGTGTGTGATGAAAAAGGTTGCTGAAAAAGTTTCAGTGCATTTTGTGAATTACATGGGGAATTGCAGAAAGATAAGGAATGATCTTATATGTCAGAGAGGCTGAATGCCACCTTCCAAAACTAGATTTTCTACCTATTCCTGTATTGATTTGCTGAATGAATCACTTAAACGATATTATTCAGTTGGGTACCTGAGAATAAGTAGTCAAAAGTGCTCATTCCTCAAAGGGCAAGTTAATTCAGTGGCATTCTAAATACATGAATGCTAAGCACTCAGAAAAATTAGATAAAAGATTTAGATTTAGGACACAGTACTAATTACATTTTTGTTTTCTTTATAATTGTGCGGGCTTTTGTGCCTCAATTTTTCGGCTGTGAAATGAAAGTAACATTATTAGCTAATCTAATGGAGTGGTTGTGAAGTTAAATCTTTTGCTTTTGTGAATGAAGAAGCAAACTTTTAAGAAAATCTATGAGAAAACTGTTATTTCTAAATGTTTGTAAGTGGAAGGTTTGGATTGTGTAGCAAGTAGGTCTGTGACTGAATGAAGAAAATTAAAAAAACATTATTGCATATAAAATACAGTATTAAAATTGCCATTCTTTTAACCTTTGGAATTAGAATATTACATGAAAATAATTTAAAAGCAAACATTCATTGTACAGAGCCATTGTTTCTTCCACCCTGAGCTGTCAGCAAGGTCTGACTTTTTCGTCCACATCATGGGTCTTTGCCCTGTGTCATTCTGTGAAGAAAGTAACAGGTTGCGAGCAAATGGTCGTAATTATGTGGGTCTTTGGATGTTACACGTCCAGGTGTTCAACAGCCAGTAACACAAAGATAAGGGAATGTAGAATCTGTGTCTTCTTAGTCCAAGACAAATCTGTAATCTAAATGAATCAGTGTTTTTACACAGTACAAAATAGTGCAGTACATATTGAAATGGTACCTCAGGTTTTTAAAGCAGTGTGGCGTTTTCTCTGGGCTCCCTCCCTCACTGCTCTCCTGCTGGTTCACAAGCCAGCTTAGCCACCTTCCCACAAGAATGGGTGCCACGTGCACAGGCTGTCAGTAACTCGGCGCGTCTGGTTTTAATTCCTTCTTCTGGAGTGCGAATGAAGCTGTGGCATCTAAAATGCAGCCCACTGGCCTTACAACATGATCCAGAGTAGTAGATTTAGATTTAGCTCCTTGCAAAGTTGCATGAAGAAAGTTATGACCTGTTTATTCATTGATATTCTGTAAGAGCACTACATTAAAAGATATGTAAGTACAGATTTACAAGAGTGAGTGAGGAACAAAAAGCTTCTTATATCTCAGCTGAGTGCCTTAGCCATTAGGGTGTAACATCATACTTTCTCCACATGTTTCTTTTCCCCACACCTTGAACTGGCTGCAGAGTGCCTGTCCTGCACAGGAGGGGCATGAATAGCCCTAGCAATGCCACCCTGAACCTTGGTGGTTTGGGGACTTCTGTAGGACATCACATGATGGTTGGATAGATGGATGGATGGATAGCAATCTGCTAGCTAAATATATACCTACAGAGGGAGATAAACTAAAGTTATTTACTCTTCGATAAGTAGGTTGCAAATGTTAGAGACACACACTCTTTCCTCTCTTTTTTCTTTAAGTCATGGTGGCTGCTGTGTTCTTGTGCATAATTCCTTGCTGTACGTTGTCAATCGGTACAAGCCCTGTCAAACCACACGCCTCTGTGGATACAGGCAGAATTCAACTGTCTGTCTGTGTTGTTCCTTGAATTGCAAAAGAATTTAAACAGAAATTTGGTACCTGGCTTGCCAGGAAGCATATTCCCATGTACTTGCAGATACTCTGGTAACTTTTAGGCTCAGCAAGGATTCAGGCTGTAGGCAGAAGTTTTCAGCCCTTATCTCTGTGCCAAAGGTATGTGACTTTGTGCTCCCTCCTCTGTACTTACTCTCCATTTACGTTTGTCTGTGTTACACTGTTTCCCTCATCTCAGGCCTCTTGACACTTGCTACCTAAAACCAGTACAGCTTTTTTTTTTCTGAGCTTTAAAATAGAACTGAAAGCTCCTGAAGATATAAGCTTGTAATGTGGAGTATGAGGCAGCATTTGCTCTAAACGGCACTACTGACTTCACATGCGATCAAGTGTGTACAGACCAAATGAGGCCTTTGGGAGTAGATCTGCAGACAGAACTTTTTAGCGGTGTGGTAATGGTAATTAAATCAATCCACCTGTCAAGATACCATAAGAAAAAAAAAGGGAAATTAGTTAACAATTTGGAGAAGAGGTTTACTTTTTGTTCAATTATTATAACTAAATGGAAAAAGACTTGCACTTAATTTTTACAGTTTGCCCAAAATGTTCCACAAACTGAATGTCTTCTCCAGTAGATTACAGCTAGACCCAAACAAAATCACGTTATATGTACAACAGCCTATTATATCGGTTTCTTCTCAGAATCCTAAATTTGATCAGACATAGATGTGAGTCATTGCAGAGCAAACTATGAAAAATATTTTTGAATTAAGCATACCTAGAACTGAATATGTTTTCAGCCCCTTTTTATAATGAAACAGATTGCACAGGAACAGGGACAGTCTCCTAGGCAATGAAATAGATATTTTGGGTTTCACAAATTGAAGCTAATAGCTTACACTCCACTCTGTCCACTCCTGTTCTCTCAGGACCTTAATTTAGGATATAGTCCACAGTGGTTCATTGCTGCTACTTATTTGCATTGCAGGCTGTCGGTCGAGACTTTCCCTTTTATTTAGGAGGCATTAGCTACACTACTAGCTTAGAGCCTAATTTAAACTTATTGCTGGAAAGGTTGAAAAAAAATCTCAAGCCCTGCTATTAGTGTTCAAGGTCAAATATTGCACCTTCACAGAAGTAGTCTGCTTAAATATTTTTTTCAAATTTGTGTAGTTCCCTTGAGGTGCAAGCAACCTAACCCTCTTGAAATTTAAATATTCTGTTTCTTTTCAAGTGGCCATTAAAATAAACGTAGACTTTCATATTAGAACATTTCATTTTGTAAAAATTATGTCAAGCTTTTGTCAAGATTCACTTTTAAAATAGATTTGTCATTTCAATGCAAGTACTTATTCTATTTTGTATTTCTCATCTTTAATCATGGAATATGTTTTTATAATCAGTAAAAAGATCAAAATCTAGCTCTAGCGTACAGGGTTGTGGTCAAGAGACTAATACAGCTCAAACACAAAATCACTCGTCCCCTTTTAATAATTTTTTTTAATATTTTCTTTTGGAATAGGAGTTTGGCAAGTGTAATTTACCTGCAACTCTTGCATATTGTAACAGTATGTGTCTTAAAGGTAACTTGTGAAGGACTGTTTTTATCTCAAGTTCCCTTCGGTGAACTGGATATACTACAGTATTTTGGACATGAGTGGAATGTCAGTGTCAGAATTACTTCATATAAATCTCTCCCTTGATTCTCCTTAGGAATGATCCACAAAAAAAAAGGGTTCATCTGAGCTTTTGTTTCATGTGTATATTAGCAATAGAAGTCAAAAAGGAGAAAGGTTTTGTAGTTTCTGCTTTTACTCTAGGTGCAATTCACCATATACATTGCAGTACACAGGAACATGCTTTATTCAAGGTGATTTTCTTATTTTGCTGCATTTCAGTAATATAAAAAGACAGGACTACTTTATTCTTGTGTCAGTTATGATGTTCCTTTTCTCTTCTAGGCAGTGGCTTAAATCTGAAGACATTCAAAGAATATCACTTCTTTTCTATAATAAGACTCTGGAAAAAGAAGTAAGTTATTTTCACTGCAAATTAGTGGTTGATTCCTTCTTTGCCTCTTCCTAAGTGAGACTTGTATCCCTTGCTTTTGTAACGTAGAGCCGTGGCCACAGCAGCTCTCCTGCAGGGAGAAGTGCCCAGATGTTACAATAATGTTTTAGGTCATTTACGGAAGAAATTTTATGCGTATGATGTCTGCAACTGCTTTCCAATTTGTAAAGCTCTGCAGTTCACTTAAATTCCTTGAAATTTTCATGGTCTCACAGAACTGGGAGGAAGTTTGATAGCCCAGATTTGGTGTAACTGGAGCAAAGGATTCCTAACTTCCATCCTGTACATCCTCAAAAAAGCATTTATCAAACTCCACTAGTTTTATTTTTTTTTTCTTTTGCCATGTCTCAAATACTCCGCTTGTAGTAATGGCAATCTTGTAATGATACCAGTTGCTCATTGGTTTTCTCCATATGCACTTGATGCTCACAGTCATTCTGGGGAAACAACACTATAAATGTTTTTTAAGAAAAATGCCTGGCTGTCTTGGATGCAACACACTAAATATTCTTCTAATACGTGTGATAAAACATGTTTGAGATGTGTGTATAGGTGGAATAAATGGCATTGTTTGATCAGAATGAAAGATTCCTCTCGTTTCGGTGACTGTCATGACCACTAGCCTAGAAAGTCAGGTCTTTGCTTTGTTTTATGGCCTTGTAGAGCTTGAGTGTGTTTCTACATACTGACATAGCTTCAGCAGAAAGACTGGAGACTTGCCTGTCTCTGCTTTCTCAGAAGCAAAGGGCAGCTGACAGCTGAGCAGTTATGCTGTCCTTCAGGGAAGTAGGAGGTAGGTTTGACCACAACTGGCTCTATAAATGAGTGAGCTTGGTGAGAATGAGGAAGTATTACCATACTGTGTTCACACTGTATAGCATAGGTGCAAGTATATTCTGGGTCCCATGCAGTGGTCAAATACATATTTAACTATTTTCGTATATGTCTTTCGATTCAAAGCATCTGAGATAATTTTCGGATTCTTTCACAGCTCAGCAGAATAGCGTTCTTATGGCCAGCTGCCAAAGGCACATGTTGTATGCCCTTGGAAATGTGTTCAGGTGAAAAAAATTTCCAGGCTTATTGAGGCTGTGTAGAGATGGCATAAGAGAGAAGAAGCCTAGACCTGGTGTGGTCTCATCCAAAGTGTTTAAAGGATACACTAATTGGATCAAAGCTGTGCATAGGAGCACATACAGATTTTAATGTGGATGGTACAAACTGATAAATTCTGAAAGAGAACTTGAAAGAAAACCATCATATGTGCACTTTGGACAATCAGGACTTGGGAGAAAGTCAGGGAGGTAAATTATTTGGCTGTGTAGTTGCTCCCTGTAGGAGTCTAATCTCTTTTAGACTACAGAATGCTATGGAATGGCAAAGAACTAATTGTTCTTTTCAGATCCAGCTTTTTAATATCTTCACTGATTTTTAATGACTCATCAGTCCAGTCTTGACTTTAAAGAATTCCATAAGAAGCCTGCCTTTGATTTAAACAGGAGCTTTTCAGGCCCTGTAGGACCTGAAAGCATTGCAAGGTAATAAAGCAAAATAATTACTTAACCTAAGGATTGAGTTGCTTGACTTCATTGGGAAATGTCTGGAGAAGTGTGAAACACTGAAATGAATTTACAAGTGGGTTTGAACTTTTTGAGATTTTAACAGCAATTCAGGGTCCAAAACTGTTGGACAAGACCATTAAGATACAACAAGCGTATTCAACAGGTGGAAGAACAAAACTTATTGCAAACATACCCATGGAGCAAAGTCATATTTGTGCTTTGAAATTCAGTTAGGTATGTGATAAGGATTGCTTTTAATTTTTCATACAATTCAAAAGTGAAAAAAAGCTGTTGTGTTGCTAAACTCAGTTTCTACATGTTCACGTAAACTTTGGTGCACCGGTTTCAAGGGCAGAACTTGGCACTAAGCACAAAGACACAGCTGTGTGCTTGCAGTTAGAAAACACAGCGTGTGCACTTTCCATTTTATGAGGTTTGCATTTTGAGCGCTTTGTGAAAATAATCTTTGGTACATTTTCTTTTAAGAATCTAATCTTAAACTCTTACCCTTTGAAAAAACTTTGATAGGATAAGTAAGTTTAATAGGCCCAATACTTAGGTCATTTCCCTTTGAGTACTTAATTGGTTTCAATCTAGATGTATCTATCTCAAATAGCAGAACAATTCTGATAAATATTTCATTGCTTAATTCTTATGTCTCTAGACAGGCTAATTAGAGATTCATAAATAGATTTTTTTTCATGACAAAACAGATCAAATTGACTCTCCTAAGAATATCAGGTGGTTAATAGTATCAGTGGACATATGAGGCCTTTTAACACAGACATAAAATATTTTAATTGAAGTAATAATATAGCCCCAGTAAATATCAGTATGATTGCTGTAGCACATCTGTAGCACAGTTACACTTTGCTGCTTTGTGTGCTCAGAATTTTCCTGTCTAAATGACTGTTATGTTTTTTTATAACTGTTTCAGCCCATTCAGTATTTATTAATAGTTGAATATCAGTTTGGGGAATTAATGACTGAGAAACTTGCAATCAGCTAAGAATGATTAGCCATCCCTAAAAAAAATTTTTAACATGCTTTCTCTTTTTTTTTTTTTTTTAATTAAACGCTTTATGATTAATTTGGGATAGTCCTGTTCTGCAGAAGAACGAGACAAAACCGTTTGACATGGCTATTTAAGCTGTTCTTTAAGAAGTAGAAAGATTCAGTACTATGCCTGATAATCCTTAGCCTTATGTGAGTGGATGTAGAAGTCATTGAACAACAGGAAATTTACTGTTGCTAAAGACTGCCTATACATCTCCACATCTTTAAGCTGGAGTTTCAGTTGAGTGATATTTTATTTGCTTTGGAAATTGTGGTTTTAACATTCGCTTTTTTTTCTTCTAGTATCGAGCAACTACTCTGCCTGCATTTAAGTATTATGTGACTTGTGCCTGTCTCATATTCTTCTGCATTTTTGTTGTGCAGATTCTGGTATTGCCAAAGTAAGTGGTATCTTACATGTACTCATTCCTACCTATATTTTCTCATTAATGTAAAAAATAAACTTGTATAAATAAAAAAATTTGGAATTGTCAGATTACGGAGGTCAATTCATGGAAATGAAATTGAACAGAGAAGATTGAGGATTTCAGCCCATTTTCAGTTATGCTTGTTTCTGATTCTAAATGCTGTCAGTACCGTGATGCCAAGCATTAGTATCAATTCTTCATTCATTTTAGTTTTTATCTTTGCACTTAAAAAGCTGTGATAATAGTAGGAATGAAATTCATGTGTGTAAAAATAGTAATGAAAGCTATAAGTTTGTGCAACTAAACTTACATGCAAAATAAGTGGGACAATTGGATGTTGAAGTGGGACAAAATGGATTGCAGAATTGGGACTGTGATTAAATAAATATATTTACGATATTACTGTGATAATACTGCTATATTCAGCTTGCAAACAGAGCATTACTATTCATAAAATGTCTCTTTTTAAAACTAATTTTAAAATATTATAATCGATTGCTGGAGTAATTATTTTTACCAGAATTTATATAATATGTGCTAATTTATATTTGTGCATATAAATCAGCTGTCTTTCTCTCTTTGCATATTCTAGAAAGACTGAGAAAACTGGAAGACAGTTCCAGTAAAGAATATTTTATTAGACTTAAAATGGAATTTTGCTGTTGATTGTTTACATAGTGGAAAATTGATATTTGTTTTATAGCAATTGTTTCCAAAGCCAACACTGTATATTCCCCATGATACAGTATTTCTTCATTCATAGTATTTTTTTCCTGTGCAGCGTTTTCAGGAGTAGTAGTTATAACTTAGTTGATTGATTGGTCTTGTGCTGTAGTACTTACATTTTAGTTCAAAGCCAGAAGGAACTGTTAGGTCATTATAAATTGACTTTCCATACTGCAGACTTGTTTTATAACATGTATAAAGTTTTATGGACTTCTATTCAGATGTTACAGCATTTTCTTTGCAAAGGGTTTCCCAGCTAGTTTCTAACATGGAGACACAAGCCACAAAGCAACACTCTTCCAAGAATTCAGTAGTATCCTGCACATGGTTCAGTCTGACTTTAGGCATTACTGTTGCAAAATATGGAATTAAGACTCATGACTAATTTTATTTGTCATTTTGCATAAAGAGCACATTTTACAAGCTCATACTGTATTTTGATTAGTACAGGAATTAATTAAGGGAAATTTGTAGTTTGTGATATACCAAACACCAAACATGGATCTAACTTGTCCCTTCCAGCAGTATGATTTAGGAATCTGTATTTTTGTTTTGATTTCAGTTGTGAAAATGAATCTAGATTTATCACCTATCACACCTGTAGTAAGATGCTCATTTTGCTATATCCTTATTATGTCTCTTAAACCAGTTGTGTAGCTCATTAAAATATATCAGATACTTGAAATTAGTGACCTCTAGGGAGCTGTATTCAACTAAGGAAAGTGTCCTCCAACTTGTAAAAGGATACACTTGTATTACATGAAGTCTTTCTACCATCAGAGCAAAAGATACATCTGTTTTATCCTTTTCATTACCAAAACGTAAATTATCTTTTGGTCCTCTTATAGGGCTGCATATTAAATTGTAAAAGCAAGAGTGTAAAATCAGATATTACCAACATGAATGGCATTCAGCTTTAAGGGGTCTATGAATTAATTTAAGAGATGCAAAAATGAAAGACAGAAAGGCAAGGTATTATACAGACATATGGATCTTTGCTGGAAAACTGGGAACATTGCAAATTAAAAAAAAAAAAAAAAGGCGAAAAATCACCAGTGTATGGAGTCATCACAAATGTAGCTTAAATCAAACATAGTCCAGGGCTGCCCATGTTATTTCCTTCCGGCAAAATAAATAAATAAATAAATAAAAAATAAATCATAGTTCAGTCTAAAATTCTATCTAGCCTTTTTGTTTTCTTCCAAAAATTCTACAGAATTTTTGAATGGTGATCTAATGGAGACAGGAAGATAAACTGCATCTCTCGTTGGGTTTTATTGATTCACTATTCCATTAATCTCGTTTTGAAGCAATGTAATATCATTGATTTCTGTGCAGGCACACCACCTGCTGCTTTAAAGTAGATTTGGAGATATTTGATGGGGAGTAACATCCAGCAAGTTGCAAGTAAAAAGTAATATCTCCAAGATCACGAGACATTTATTTCAAAGCTGAAATAATTTATTAATGTTTTAATTTTCCCAGCGTCAATAAACTGATGCAGTGTTTACATGGTAAACATTACACAAAGTGGTAAATACAAATTTAATCAAGTCAACGATATCTTGGGGTGAACTGTATCAAGAGGAGTAGCTCTTTATTGTGACATTAAAATGACAGCAAAACTTGGTCATTACGTTTCCTCAGAAGAGGCCTTCAGTGGCTCTCAAGCATTCTTGGTTTACCAAGTGACAGAAGTATCTCTAGTAATTCACAACAACCCAACATTCTTTATTTAGGGAAACAGTCAATTAACATGGAATTGGTAGTGTGGTTTTTTGAAATGCAAACCGGTGAATTGATGAAAGTGTATTCCTTTTGAACAGGAGTTACCTCTTATGCTATTCCAGTAAGGGATTTGTTTGGGGCTACATTTAAGATTCTTTTCCATGTCTTTTCTTTCTGAGGCTGCTATGTTCAAGAAATTGTGTCGTTTGTCCTGACTCATGCCAAACTAACAATCATCTCGCTAGCTGAAGGTGATTAGGAGGCCCTAACATAGTATTTCCAGTAAGGCACAGCTGAATTTCTTTATAGAAAAGGTAGTTCTTAAAAACTTTGTCTGAAAGCAGGCATGTAAAATATAAGGCAGTATAAATGAAAGAAAACCACTGTTACCAGCTATTTTTTCTGCTGTATCTGATTAAAAAAAAAAAAAAAACAAAACAAACTCAAATGGAGTTAAAATACTCAAATAATTTTTCTAAACTGAAACTGCCATACTACACAGCCAGTCTACACAGCCATTGAATCCATCGATGGCTTAGGGAAAGCATCAGTCAAATTAAGAAGCAGCTACTATTAGATACCAAAAAAGTCTGAATTCAGTATTGCCTTGTCTAATTGTCATTTGTAATTGCTTCATTATGATTTTATCACCTCAAGAGAATTTGCAATCAAATAGTTCAAAACATGAATATTAATTACCTGGCAAGCTAAGGAAATTCTCTATGTCCCATTAAGGGACATGTGTCACATATTTTCCTAAAAGTTACAAAAATGGAGAAATAATACTCTCTCTTCTCCAATTTTCAGTACCTTTATCGTTATAATAAAATTTTATTTTTCAGTTAAAATGTTACCAACAAGACATAAGTATTTATAAATACATATTTTTTTTCCAATCTCATACTGCCTGATAAAAATGAATTATTCAAAACAGATATTTACTGATGAAACCAGAAAGATATGAGGACAGCCAAGATCCTAAATTATTTAGACTTGGAACTATCTGAAGCCTGGGAAGTTCTCATATTGTTTCATCAATTTTAAACTCTGTCCCTCTGTAAATTATTGTCAGGGGATGTCCTGTCAGGGTTCCTGGTGGGGCACCGTAGCAGAGAGTAGACCCTTCAGGAATGAGGACGTTCCTTGAAGGATAGGAAGAGGCAGGTGAAAAGTTAGCTGACTTATGGGATCCCACGTGCTCTTTTGACAAAACGGTTTGCCTGAATCTGTCAATGCAATGCATTTGGTGACCTGTGCAGTGCGTTTGATGACTCTACACAGTAAAGGTGAGGTCAATTTACTGTAAAGGCCTGTACTGTTTTTGTAACATTCCAGTGACATAAAATAAATGCACATTACAGCTTTTTTATAGTCATTGTTTGAGGCAATGTTTATGAGGCTTATTCATGGTGGCACTTAATTTTTAGTATTTTGCTTCCCATTATAGCATTTTCATCAAGCATACTTCTTTCCTTCTAGGAGCAGCATGAAACTATTTTGGCTTAGTCTAACTGAAAGAGAAGTCCTGCTGTTCCCAGGAAAGAAAAGGGTGTGGGAAGCAAAAACCTTACAGCTTTTTGTCTCTGTATTCACCACTCAAATCTGGATTCTAAGATAGCACTTTTCCTTTTCTTGTCCTCAGTCCTTTTCTCTTTGTCCTGATAATCAGAATCTTATTCACCTTGCTACAGAATTCTTTTTCTTGTGCCACCCCAATAACATCATTGATCATGTAAAACAGCTACAAGGACCTTTTGTTCTTGCCTGTTGCCCGCGTGATTAAGTACTCTTTGCATAAGGTCTCCTTATGCCATGTTAATTTTATTTCCCTTGCTCTCCAGTTTCTCTCACAAACATCTTCATTTATTCTTCTACAAGGATACACTCCAAACTTGACTCATAAGGCTATTCTTGTTTTCAATAATTTCTTAAGGTGTACAGACTCCTTTTTTCTATCCTTCGTATCAGAGAAAGAATAGCAATACTTTGAAGTGCAGGTATGCTTACTTGAATCTTACTGAAGGACACATATAATTGGAAGTGTTTGTGCATATATAAAAAAAAAAAAGGCCAGTTAATTATATTCCTTTTCATTCATCTCTTCTGTTGCTTACTAGATTTTAAATTCCTAAGAGTAGACTGTAGTTTTATATACACTCATGTACAGCTTACTATCTCAGTCTCAATGAGAAATTCTTGGAGAACGTGTACTCATAAGAAATTATGATTTTAAAGTAACTTCTAAAAGAAACATTATTTCAAGATTAATATATGTTGTGAATTGCCAGTTGTTTGTTTTTCATCAGCTGTTCACATCAACCCAAATTCTGAGGAACACTTAGCGTATGAGGTTCTCTAAATGATTGGCAGGGAAGCTCATAAATTATTCTCCAAAAGGCTTTTAATGGCAGCATTATGGCATCAAATTGGTTTGTGAAGTTAATGCTTTTTTGTTCGTTCCTGAAAATAGCTTCTATAACACTGTTGTTGAAACAGATCAAAATGTTTTCCAATATTTGTATGTAATCTAAGGAAATTGATCCATAGAGTTCTACTCCTAAATTTTTAGTATTATAGTTTTATAGAGATGGCATCTCTAAAGAAGAGAGATGTATGCTTGTATTAATAATGTGTTTTTATAGTTTTGAGTCGTACGTTTATGGAGGAGCTAACTTAACGTGTAACATTTATTATGGTTTTGTCAAAAAAGTAAGGGATATAAAACATTTCTAAAACCTCATGCCAATATTTCTAGCAGATAAGGTCTGATAAGATATTTGCTGCTGCTCAAAGGAGTTGAGAGATATTTTTTAATTCTGTAAAAATGATAAATCTGTGGTTAAAATTGAAAGGATAAGCTCAGGTGAGGGACTTCATGGCAGCATCTAGTTCCCTTGCTTAAACTACTCAGTTGGTCCAGAACTTCTGATCTCCTCTTGGCATTCATTAAACATAATTAGGTCCCACTGCATCTTTCTTTTTTTTTCTAAGCAGCCGTGCTAAGTAGCTCTTGTATGGTGCCTGATGGAGCAATTATGCTCCACTGTGGTATTCATATAGAGAAATTTCCACATTTGTGGAATGAGTGCATGCACAGATTTTTTCTGCATCCTTGTTTCTGTTTACTGAGTATCCAGTGATGCTATTTTGACTAGACTTTCCTATTCATACAAGAAAAGGATGAGCTAGAACGCTGAGTAAGGATGATTTCAGGAAGAGTATAGATTACTCATTTTGCATTTAAAGTCCATTGTTTTTTCTTTTCTTCATGTTGTTTAGTTTTCCTTTCTGTGCGTTCCTCTGATACTTCAGAATCTACTGGCCAGCCGGTCAAATTTGAAATAAGATGGAGTTTTTAGAGGTGTTGAATCCCTATCTGTTCATGAAATAGCAGTCCCCATATTAGGACTCATGCTGACTGAGAGACCGCAGCATCACAGGTATCACAGGCTCTAGCTGCAAGACAATGAAAACTGGACAGCACTGTCCCATGCTATTCCTTTTTGTACCTTGGCGGGGGACTGTACACTACCAAGAAGTTTATTTTGTATATCTATTAGCCTCTTAAATTATATGATCAACAGCATGAAAATAAACTAATAAGGAACTTCTTTAATACAGGCTTTCTAAAGTAAAACCAAAAAAACCCCAAAACATTGCTTCTGTTAGTGTACTCTGTCATTTAAATTGGTTGTGTGGAAATTACTATATTTTCATGGTAATAGTTTCGAAAAGTGAGAGGTAAAGCTAATTGAAGCATTCCTGAGTTGAGAAAATGACAGGAACAAGGCCTGTCATTCTGGTAAGGATCGGTATTGTTTTTCCATGGTGTTGATGTTTGGAAGCTGCAGCTTGCACATGGTGACTTTCATATCATCGGTATTGTACACTAAGAAAGGTCATGCTAAAAATGTGTAACAGAGAAACTAACACATGTTTTCTTATTTCTTGTAGAACATCTATTCTTGGAATTTCATTTGGGGCTGCATTTCTCTTGCTTTCCTTCATTTTGTTTATCTGCTTTGCTGGACAGCTTTTGGTAGGTATTGAAGGAAATGTAACCCAGTAGTTAATGGTTTCTTTTAAATAACATGTTCTGATTTTGCCAAGTCACTCTGCCTTTGCAGAGTACCAGTTAAATGAGAAAGGCTTGCACGCTCAGGCTTCTGAGGACATTGTTTTGTCCATGTTAATGTACTATACAATGTTTTCATTTGTCTAAAAAACAGAAAATGCCAGTGCAGTGCCTGTCTGTACCTACACTGATATTCTCTTTCCCCAGTGTGAAGCTGGATCCTCTGAGATGTTTGCATTATCATTTGATGGATTGTCTTTTCAAAATTTTTGCTATTGTGCTTACAGGAGGTGACTCATGAGTGCTTTAATTTGGGGGACTGTATATTTAAGTATTGTATAAGACCATTTTCTGACTTTAGAGAATATTTCACGATAACAATTTAATTTGATATATAAACATTTTATAGTAAAATTCTGATTTTGCCATTGAGTACTCCAGGTGTTATTTTAAGGCCTGTTAGTGTACTCAATAATATGCTGAATTTGAGAATTTCATTTAATTCAGGATTTGGGCAAACCTTTCAGCATTTTGCAATATAGTTAATAAATAATATTGTCCTCCTTTCAGTCATTCTCAAATAGCTCCAAGATATAACTCCATCTAGAACAAGGTATTTCAGGATTTGTAGGAAAGTGAATGCAATTTGAATTTGGCATGTAATCTAGAATAAAACTATCTGTACACTTGTCACTTAATCCCCACTTCTCCTTCTCTATCTTTGCATTTTTCCACAAGCTCCCATGGAGAAAGCTGAGAGAAAGATCTTTTATAAAAAAGCAAAACATGCACATGGGAAAGACAATTACATGACTATGCAATAAAACAGTAAGGAAAGGTGGCCTGGCAGTTGAAGCAAGAAACAGAGGAAGTGCGATTTTATAATTTCTCCCTCTTCCCTTGAGAGGCTTGTAATTACCAGGACATGTTTTTAAGAAAATATAATTAATCTACATTTCAGTTGTCTTTCCATTAAGGTAGGGATGCTGCCACTGCTCAGGAATTAATCTAAGATACAATGCGACAGTATTTTTAAATATTTTAAATCCTTGGAGTGAGGTTCTAGAGGTATTGCTATTACTTAACAGCCAAAATTCGTTCTCATGTAATGTCATGCTTGATTGCTGTTTTTTATTGATGTAAGAGTCAGAGTACTGCTGTTGAATAAGCAAATTAAAAAAAAAAAAAAATCCTCCAAGGAAAAGCCAGCCTTTTACATGTAGGAAAAAGAGGTTCCATTGAAACGGTATCATGAAGTGTTGGGACATACACTCTCCTGGGGCTTTTATTTATAATGTATCTTAGGAGGAATACGAACATATTTTTCTGCATTTTAAAGGGATGGCTAAGCAAGTATCCCAAGTCAGAGTTGAAAAGTCATGCCACTTGAATAATATCTAACACCTACTTTCAATGCTGTTTTTCCTATGTCCTGTATGTACTGTAAATACTTCCCAGAAATGGAGTCCTGTTATTGCGTTGCTGTTGACTTGCGAGGTGTCATGTTCTAAGCCAAATAGCTTGAAAAGGAGATATTTAAGTCTGTCTTTATGAGTTCAGCTGCTCTAATGCAGAAGCTATGCAGAGGCTATGAAGAAGCCTTTCAGCAAGTAAATTATGACCGTAGTTGATGCAGCTCTGTCCTTCATAAGCGTGGACATAGTTCTGTAAGCTGATGGATGAGAGGCAGCTAACAAAAGAGGCAGTAGGTTTATCTTTCCCCTGTCCTCTCCCTAAGATTTCTTCCGTCATGTCAAAATCCGAGTGTTGTTTTGCAGCTTTAACCACAGTGACACCCTGTGTTATATTTCAGTAGCATAACCATCACAGTGATTGACCCGTAACTGTAAATTCTTTCTTTCTAGAAGAAAAAGTCTGAAATTCTCAAGTGAACAAGTATCAATATCTAAGTTTTAACACTATAGTGTCAGTGCTAGCAGAAATCAAACTTTATTGTCCTAATCCTGATGGGGTTTGGGTTTGGGTTTTTTTTTACTAGTGGGGTTTTTTCCCACCTCTTTTTCAAAAGGGGTACATTTTGGATTCCTTTGCAGAATGGTTGTAGTAACTGTGGATGTGCTTGTGTGTACAGACACCTGCACATAGTTACGGAGTTTAAAATCACTGAATATCTCTCTTGTAAGAATGCACAAGAAAGAAGAGGATTTTTTGTGCCTGACTGACCCTGACAGATGAGCTGTGGTGGGTCAGCCTTGGCTATGGGCCAGACACCCACCCAGCTGCTCACTCACTCTACCTCCTGAGAGGGATGGGGGAGGAAAATAAGAGGAGAAGGCTTGTGGGTTGAGATAAAGGCAGGAAGATCACTTACCAATTACTGACATAGACAAAGCAGACTCAATTTGGGGAAAATTAATTTAATTTATTGCTGATTAAAATAGATTTGGATGGTAAGAAGCAAAACAAATTTTAAAGCCACACCATTCCTCCCCCCTCTCCCAAACTCAACTTGTTATGAGATTTATAGAGTGGGACCTGTAGTGCCGGCAAAGACAGCAAAATCTAAGCTCAAGCTGGGACACCTGGCTGTCACTGCATTACATGCTTGTCTCAGTACTTCGACACTTTGTCCTCTCAGTCTCCACCAATTATAAATGGCTGTCACCAGCACAGAGAAAGTTGTGGAAAAAACAACTTTGAACAAGTTTTTCTGTATGATTTTCATTTCATTGGTAAATGAAAAAAAAAACAAATCCAAACCCAAACATCCAGACTGTAATGCTAAAATTACTAGCTCTTACAGAATTTAATTACAGTATTGTAAGAAGAGATTTATGCTCACTCTTTCACTCTGAGTTTATTATTAGTTGATTCTACTGTTCAGCAGCACTGCGGCTCGGTCCAACTCGATCTGTTGTGGAGTGATAATATCAGCTATTAAATAGGAATAGGACTGTTTCCATCAAACGATGTGGCAGAGCAGTAGCACAAACAACAAGGCTGCAGACTCCCAGAGCCTGCCTTTGCGGCGTGTCTTGGGCAAACAGGCTGAGGGCAGGGAGGGCTGACAGTTCTTACAGAAACAGTCGTTTGCCCATAGGCATTAAACCTTCATCGATCCTGGCGAAAATTGGCATATGTCCTGAAACTTGAAATGGATTTATATCTTTTATATTCTAATTGCTTCTTTGTGGCCGTGCCTTTTTTTTTTATTATTTATTTAAATAATCACAGTATTCAGAGTTAAAGCTTAAGATTATGAGTATTTTTGGTCTTAAAGGTCTTTTTTGGCTTATATTTTCATCTTTTAAATGTAGACTATTATTTTTTATTAGTTTTGAATGTTTTCTTTGAATTTTCCTTGAGACATTTCCTTCCCAAATTGCATGCAGATAGGGGACAGTGATTGTCCTTTAGCTTATATATTTTCTGTGTCTCCTCTCTTTATCTTCTTGAAGTATAGACGAGTTCATAGAAGGAGTGTGAAATGCCTCAGACCTGGTAACTGTTAGATGTGTTTTACCTCCTGACATGAATGCGAGGAAGCAGAGATCCAGTTACCTAAACGATACATTGGAAAATGTAATGCAATCAATAGAAAAAAAAAAAATCAGTCAGCTTGTAAAGGAAAGATCTCTGTGGTAGCTAAGGTAGCTGGACGAAGAAGCATTAGTCTCAAGCAGATGTTCTTTGTGCATTGATTCAAATAGTCTCTCAAAAATTTCTTTGCATTACCTGTGATATGCGTGCATTTAATTGATACCAAATACTCTTTGTGCCAGTTGTTTTCCATTAATATGGCTTTTGGTTGCATATGTTTATACCTTGCAAACCTATTTAGCTACTTCAGCTAACAAGGAAGATTGGAAGTAAAAACATTTCTTTCCTATTATCTCATCTGAACACCTTTATAGTCTCTCTTAAATATCCAACTGAACCGTGGAATTACCAGCAAAACAAGAACCAGAAAATAACTGGCTCCACAGTTGAGAAAGATGCTATGATTTGAGGTTACCGGAGCATCTATCAAAGTGCAACCAGTATGTGAGCAGTCCTGTCCCTGCTAGAAGACAGCACGCTATTTATTAGTAGCATTACACCACACCACTGTATAAAGAGTCATATACAATCTTTACCTTTGTTTGCAGGGATTTTTATTTTACTCTAAACCAATTGGCATTGGTACTTAACAGTCAGAAAGACTGTGTACGTTTAAGATACTTCAAAGCTCTGCAAAGACAGGAATATCAGCACCAGCTCTACTTTGAAATTATTTTCAGCTTATAATCTTATCTCTGATATGAGTATCTCTCAATACAGACAGGAATGAAAGATCAAGACCCTTCAGTTTCTTCAATAATAAGGCTTTGCTTGTAAATTAAGATTAAAACAGGGATGAGGGTAGGCAGGGAGAACCCAGAGAGGCACTTTGGCACCTACAGCAGGGTCCATGAAAGAGACTAATCAAACCTAAAAGTCATTCTAATGAGTCTCTAGCACAGGCACTGCAACAGCAAATCTGTCATCACTCAGTTAGGTACCATGTTCAGACTTCAGGAACTGTTAGAAATGTGCTGATTTCACTAACAAAAATCCTTCTTCTTACTCCTTCTTGAGTTGTATGTTTATGATGGCATGTTATGTGATTGTGACCAACTGAAGAAGTTACCTAACCTGGTGAAAACCACAAGATTCTTATGTCTGTTGTGCCAATAAGTTCTCCTTTCATGTTTTTTGATGAGTGAGACTATCTTGATTTTTTTTTTAAATCTGTCAATGCTGCCTTTTAGTGTCTTTGCCCAAGATGAGATTACCTCCAAATAAAGAGATATCCCACTGTGCTTCCTAATA